CTTCTTCAAAGCAGTGTAAAAAGTACAAATTTGAAAAAGAAGTATTGGTAGTAAGCAGCAAGGAGAAAGTTAGTTTTCCAGAGGCAGAACGACGTGCCCGTGTGCTGTTTGCAAAGCACCAGGAAAGTCCTTTGCCTTGTTCTAGCTTGTCCTCCTTCCCGCCATCCCTACCTTCCAATACTTCTGGCACCACACTACCATTACAGTTCGACCTGTCCTCAAACACTGAAACTGCCTCTGGAGAGTTGTACCACCAGGAACGGAGTAGGAGTGAGGGGTCTATTGAGGAAGTAAGGTCTCTGGAGCCATCAGGCAAGGCTCCAGAGGCCACACCAGCTCCAGCTCCAGCTGCCGCATTCACAGGGGCCGCCGCTGCTAGACAGAATGAAGCTGAGCCAAAGGCTTAGGTCCGCCCTTTGCCCGAGCAGAGGAATCCTGAGCTTGTCCAAAGGACTCTTCCTAAAGGGGGGTCTTTGGAGCCCCCCTTTAGGTAGAGACCTCCAGAGGCCTCAACGGTGTGTGTGTGTATGTTTGTGTTTACATATGTATATATGTATATATATCTGTATATATATATATATATATATATATACACACACACACACACACACACACACACACACACACACACACACACACACACACATATATATATATATATATATATATATATATATGTATGTATGTATACATGTATATATGTGTATTTACATGCACACATACATGTGTACATATATATGTATATATGTACACATGTATATAGATATACATATATACATATACACAAAAAATACATACATACATACGTACACACACACACATACACCCACCCTCGCGCGCGCGAACACACACACACACATATAAGCATATATGTACACATATGTATACAGTATATGTTTGTATGTGTGTGTGTGCGTGTGTGTGTGTATACATACGCAGTGACTGCGTCCTCTCCTTTGGTCCTTTTTTCTTATCCCAGCATATGCTTGCATGACGATCCCTCGCCCGCTATCAGAGCTGCTTATATTTACTCTCTTTCAAGTGGCCTTGATTTATGACGTCACTTTCTCGTCTTTCCACATTGTTTAAGGAGATTCCTGTGAAATCTCGAGAAGCTTTATTATTTCATCCCAATTTTCTTTTCTTTTCATGTTTTTTTTATATATATATATAAAAGAAGAATACGTTAACCTTTAGGCAGTTGCAAGGTCTAGATCATTAAGCAGGACTCAAGATTTTTTTTTAGTTACTGTATCACTAACATTCTTAACTTTCATATAAATCCTACAATCTAATTATCTCTTCCACATTTAGACAAGTTAACGAGTCAAGTGAAGCTCTTCGTACTGTGCAAGGTCACTGTCGTATCAGGCTATCAGTGGCAACTTTCTGCCCCGAGACGCCGCGCAAAGTACTCGGGAGACAGACCTTCAATCTCTTAGTCGCCTCGTCACTTCCTCCACGGCGCTCGCACCTCCACCTCCTCCTCCTCCTCTCCACCTCCATCATTACTTCTGCCCCTACTACCTCCATTCGCTGGGGAAATAATGGACGCTTCTCCGGAGATTGAGATCAAAGAGGATGAAATGGGTGTAAGTTTGAACATATGATAGTTCCTTGAAACACAATAGTGGCAATATATGTTTCCTGATGTAGTATGTAATGTGACCTGTGCAAATGCAGGCTGCAATGGTCAATATCATTGTCAGGAAGGTGGTGTACCCAGGGAGGCTAAGGGCGACGGAGGCACGGCCATTTCGACGATGAAGAAGCTTTGGGCTGCCACCACCTACGAGCCGCTGTTGCTGCTGCATGCCATTGTCCACTTTGGCACTATTGTAAGTCATTTTTTTTTTCTTTGCATCACAAGCCACCTTCCTATACATGATTTTTATTGCCAAATTATTCTGGGTATAGTACCTATATACCGACTTTATGTTCACAATTTACAGGCCATGACAGAGTCCCTGATAGCAGAAAAGAGCTGTCTGGTGACCCTCGGCAAACCGGAAGATATCTGCAAAGAACTTTATAATCATCCAGATGATGAAATTGAGGTAAGAAGTACAATACCCAATCTAAGGTCTGCCAAAGCATAATCATCACCATGTTGTCCTGGCTTCAGCATAACTCCAAGCTAAATATTGCAATGGTCTTCATTCGGCAGGTACAGCAAGTTGCGTCGAAATATCAGGGTTCTGCAACACTGGCCGAGAACCTGGTCGCAGTGTTTCTGCTTCTTTACCTCGGCCCCTTCTCTGACAAGTAAGGCTACATTTAACCCCTTGGTGCCGGGTATGACGTGTACGTACGTGCTATGCCCACCATGAGTACTTGTTTGATTGTTTTTACGCATAGATGGCAACACTTGTCCTAAATCACCAATGAGCAAACTACGAGCACCGGCCGTCTCGCCCGTTTACCCGTTTCTTTGATTTACAAAATATTTTACGTAATCTTAATTTGCTGTTACTAATGTTAAAAAACACTATAAAAATTATAATGTTTATGATAAAAATAACACCATCGATTTTCATAGCACTAGTGAAAAATACGATTTTCCTGCCATTTCAAATCAGGCGCTAGCAGAGCCATCTATCGGCAGACATTTCACGAAAAACGTAGAAAGTGGGCACAGCATTTTCTCCAGTTTTTGTTCATTTTCCCCGGCACCATTGGGTTAAGAAATAACACGGTTTATATACAAAATGATACACATTTTAATGTTAGTGGTCAAGACTGACACTTACTGAAGTTTTTGAACCGTGATCCTAGCTGGAAAACTGTAAACTTATACATAGCAGTTCCCATGATCTTCTCTCTCCTAAGGTACGGTCGGAAGCCCTTCCTTTACCTGAGTCTGGTGATGAAAACGTTGAACATTCTTATCCTTTTCTTCGCCTCCGTGTTCATTTACTCTCCTACTGAACTCACTGTCGTACGTACTGCTAGATCTCCTGGAACAGTGGATGTCATGAATACTTGCCCCTTGTGAACATGATTTGCACATACATTATCCAGGAAAAAAGTTTCTAAAATAACCTTCAATACTAATATTCATTCAATGACTGCATTTTGGTAATATATATATGTGTGTGTGTGTCTATATATAGATACATTCAAATTCATATATGACTGATCTTTTGCTATAATCTAATGAACAGCCTATACACGTGCACACTTCAGCTTGATGACCAATGCTGATAATGGAATGGTGTAAGTGGCACTTTCTTGTTGCTAGAAAGGAACTGTGCTGAAAATGAGCACTTATATATGTATGTATACATAAATATATATGTATATAGGTGGATACAGGTGGATATTGGGTCCTACAGCCTACTGCATCCCTTTATGTGGGACAGCTTCGGTGGGGGTGGCAGAGGTGGTGTTCACCCAGAGTGACTGGCCGAGGCTTAACCTCAGGCTAACTGTCCGGGTAGGTGCTTGGAACATCCAGTCCTTGCGGCAGGATGAGTCTCTCGAAGGTGAGAAGATCTGGCAGCAGCAAGATCAGTATGGGTGGGTACACAGACTACTAGTCGGGCCGGGGCGATGGTCATCTCCAGGGAGTAGCCATAGCCATCTCCAGGCGACTTCAGCTGCTGGTAGTTCGGGAAAACTGGTTGATGAGCATTTTATGTTTTTTTTTGCTTCATGTCTCATATTGCTGTGTATGCTTCTACCGATGGTTGCAAACTTGATGTGAAAGAATTATTTTATGCAAATCTCACATCTGCGGTAGACAGTTGTCCCTGGCAAGACATTTGCATTATTCTGTTCAACTTCAATGCAGTATCTGGCTGTGATCGAGCCGGCTATGAGATGTCTGTTGGTCCCCATGGCTTGGGAGATGATCCCAGAAGCGAGAACAGCCTCCTGAGACTGAGGATTTTTGGCCCCTGGTAACAGTGCTCAACCCACATTACTGGGCATAGTATTGGGATTCGGGTACTGTGACCAAGGTCAGTGTTGAGTTCTGTGGCACTGACCATAGGTTGGTCCACTTCAAAACTCCTTGTCCCCCAGTGGCCACTCTATGGTCTTTCACTTGAACAGATTGAGGGAGGAGGAGTGTGCCCAAGGGTTTGCCACAGCAGTCTCTGATCAATTCGCAGAACTCGAAAACCTGACAGAGCCAGTACTTCTGTAGGAGTCCTTCAGCACGAAAAACTTGAAGCAGTGCAAGAGTTCACTGGTGAACTCCCGAGGTCAAGGCAGTTTTATCTCACTGGAGACACTGGAGGCCACAGTGTTGCATGGCTCAGCTGAAGGGCAATCAGGACCTATGCTGTTCCTTGGTGTGCATATATGCTGTTGAGAAGAGTGCATAAGGAAACTTGCTGAGGAGATTGAAGACCATTTCTTGGTAAATGACCTTCGCCCTGCTTACCAAGCCCTGAGAAACCTGAACCCTAAGCCCTCCTCACAGATGACTGCAGTCCAGTCAGTGGATGGATAGATCATCTCACATCATGCTGGTGTTTGTGAATATAGGATTGAGTATTTTGAGCAGGTGTACCAAATAGACCCTCCAACAGTTATTTTGGATGCAAGTGGTATCACAATACATGTGCTGGACCTACCCATCAGCTAGGAACGTCCTACCCTAACTGTGGTTAATATGGCTATTTCTAAGCTGAAAGCAACAGACATATGTGATATCCCTGCTGAACTGCTAAAGGCTGGGGGTATCGGGAATTCTGATATGGATTATTAGCCAAATTGTAAGCCTATATACTGGTACTGAAAATACTGTAAAGCCTGTTGAACTTCTTCCCAGTTCATTCAGGGATGAGGCAAGGCTGTGTCCTTGAACCAACACCTGCATGGACTAGATAATAGGCAGAGCTACTGTCCAAAGTCAGGGTGGAACAACATTGGGCAATATCAAAGTCACAGACCTTGATTTTGCCGACGATGTTGCTATCCTATCTGAGTCTCTGGAATCACTGGTGGTGGCTCTTGATATATTTAGCAGTGGGACAAAGTCCTTGAGGTCTCCTGAACCAAGACCAAGGTTCAGGAATATGGGGGCCTGTTAAAGGAACCTGTTCAGTCGATAGATGCTTGTGGTGAGGACGTTGAAGTCACAAAGAGCTTTACATAGCTTGATAGTGTAGCCCATTTCTCTGTGCTGTCAGACCAAGAAGTCAGTAGACGGATTGGTCCAGTAGCATGAGCCATGAACTCGATAAATAAGTACATTTGGAGATGTCAGTACCTATGCATAAGGACCAAGCTACATCTCTTCATGGCCTTGATACTGCCAGTTTTGCTATATGAAAGCAAAACCTGGATGCTATCTAGTACCTTGGAGTCTCGTCTTGATGCCTTTTGTAACAAGTCCCTGTGCTGGATGACGTGGTACAGTTGGCAGGACCATGTGCCCAACCGATGGCTATCTGTGAGACTGGCATAATCCGAGACTGCCAACTCAGGCTATATGGGCATCTAGCTCATTTCCCCTCGTTGTGGATGACCCTGCCCATCAGGTTGTTTCTTTGCAAGACAGTCCTGTGTGGAGGAGGTCATGACTTGGGCAGCCTGGAGACTCACTATCATGGACCCCTGTGGCTGGAAGTGAAGGGTGGATGCTCCCCTGTCGGTGTTAGCCTCTTGATGAGGAGGATATATATATATATATTATGTATATGTATATATATATATACATATATATATATATATATATAATCACACACATATATATGTCTGTGTGTAATTAATTTATTCATTAACATATATGTGTGTATGTATATTCAAACGGCTTTTCTTCAGGTGGCGCCGTTCCTCTACTCCCTCGGAGGAGCGATGGGCTCCTTCCAGATGCTCATTTTCGCCTGCATCTCCGACGTCACGACGGAGGCCAACCGGACCTACAGGCTGGGAATCCTCAAGATCTTTATTGCTTTCGGGTCACCTACTGGCAGGGTGGTCAGCGGCCAGGTGGGTGTGGAAAACTTGTGAGTTTGATTAGCAAAATGCTTAAGGAAGTAATTACTACACTGGTTAGATACAATGATTCCTTGGCCACTTAAATGGAATAATGCAATATTGATATGAATGAACAGTAATACAATGACCCAAACCAAGCAGTGTGAGTAATGGTCCAGGTAACTGGTAATTTCTGAGTCCTTGCTCTTGGGGATTATCTCCAGCACGAGTAGATAGTAAGTTATTGAGCCAGCATGATCCTCATTTGATAATCCTTTTTTGTCTCAAGTATTTAAGTTGGTTTTCCTTGGTGTTACTTTGAGAGGGTTTGAATCCCTGTGTAGGAGAGTACTCGCAAGGAAACAGCGGGATCAGTAATCACCACATTACCTGGCCAGATGTATGCGGCGGGGGGGTATGTAGCAGTGTACGGGCTGGCGCTGGGACTCCTGACCATCTGCCTCCTCCTGCTCGTCTTCACTGCGGAATCTGTGACATTCAGTGATCATGGTCAGTGGTTCTTCGTTATGATCTTGGATTTCACTGAATCACATTGGATTATAATTTTTTTCATCCATAAAATTAATCCTATTGTTTTTTCAATTTCCTTCTTAGAATTTTAATGTTCTTTTTGATTGACTTTGTGCATTACTTTGCTGCCTTTACATCGCCATCATTACATTGATATGCATCCTTATTTACCTTATCTTCCTCTTCTTCCTCCGTTCTCTTACGACCTTCCTGCTCGTTCACCAGTGTAATAGCTGGCGTATTACTGCAGAAATGAATGTAGCAGTGAGGACTTTGCAAATTCAGTGGCAGTGTCTATGACGGCGAATAGTTCAGAAGAAGGCCTGGGTGTCTCGGGACATTCTCAGCGGCTATAGAGTGGGGATAGCAAGGAACTGAGTCTTCTTGTTTGTGCAGCTCATTATGGTAGCAACAACTGAGCCACTTACGGGGACTGGCTGTCAGAAGTATCCCTAGAGCTCGGTGAATCCCAAGGATTTGCTTGCGGAGGGGAAATCCAAGATTACAAAGATTGAGTCGACATAAAAACTAGACAGGGAGAGTGTTGGGGAACATAATAGAAAGGTTTTTGATAGTTTTGGTAGGGATATCATCTGAGCGCCGGTCGCAGACGGATTAACACGCACTTATGGAGATAAGACTGGTGACACATGAGGTGTTAATATACAGGGAATGTAGGATTGACACAGTTATGTTATATTACTTTCAAAGAGCGGTACAATACACAACCTGCATCATCTTCACCCTTCCTCATCTTGAATGTCGCCGATTCCCGTTCGTCCTCCCTTCTTCCACCAGCGTTCTCTCTCCTCCCCCTCCATCCTCCCTTCTTTCCCATCAGCTTCATCTCTCTCTCCCTTCCATCCTCGGCTCCCCAGAGGAGAGGCCCAAGTTCAGGGTCTTGTGGCTGGTGGAGGTCCCCGCGGAGCTGCTCACCGCCGTCCACCGCAAGGAAGGGCCGCGAAGGGGCATCGTCTACGCGATCCTCTTCGCTCATATCTGCATCTTCTTCGCTATGAGTGAGTATTGTGCAGTTCGTCTGACCTCTGTGTGTGTTTTGTGTTGTTTGGCGCTTGTTGTGAGTGAGTGTTTCTTCTCCTTTTTTTGTTTCTTTTTTGTTTCTTTTTTTGCCATGTAGGGAATTGCATTCTTGAGGTGAAATCTCTTTTTGATTTTCCCATTCTCTTTTTGAAATCATTGATAGGGAATCTTCCAAGAGCACTCTACGTTATGCTTCGAATGTTGTTTTTATTTTCTTCTTTATTACGTCCAGGTATTGCGTTTTTTTTTTCCTTTTTTTTGTCCCTCCTTACTTAGATAAGTAACGAGGAATATGAAAGTAATCCGTTTTCTGTTTCGCATCATATTCTTAACATGGGTTAATTTGCTTTTCGTTTTTTACTGACAATTGCCAAGATTGTGTTAATTCTCGATGTTGCTGAAGTTACCATAGAACGTCCGGAAAAGAGACTCTTAATATATCTATATATCATCCTAGCGTTGAAGATTTTTTGCCAAAGAGGTGATCTGATATCGTTTAATCAAAGTACAAGTGTTATTTAGGTACGAGCTTTAATCTTCCTCTTAATACTGTATACATTTAATTACGATGTACGTGTTCAAAGTTTATTTTTTTATATACTCGGTACAGTTACAGATTTCATACGAAATGATATATCATTACCATTGTTTCTTATTCACTGTAGATCCTCTGTATTTCCTATTCTTCAAGTTGATGTTCGACTGGGATGCGACAGACTACTCTAACTGGCTGTTCTACAGGGACATGACCAAAGCCATTGGTAGGTACCGGGACTATGCGTTTGTACACATGATTAACGATAAATGAGCTCGCAAGCTAACGAATTCACACACACACACTTGGGCGCACACAGACGTACACTCTCGGACGCACACAGACATACACACAGATATGCAAATACCAACACGAGCAATAGAAACAGATATAAGAGAAGAGTGAATTAGTGAAATAATAGTTACGTCGTGGATACTAATAAATTCAGTTTGCATTGATGTTTTTCCTCTGAAACATAACCATTTCATTTTTAATAAATTTTAAAGATAAACGTAAAGAAATATTCACATCTACATATGATTAAAGGTGAAAGATAAAAACAGATAGACTGAAGGTATTGAGAGAGAAGTCAAAAAAATAGAAGTCAGGCAGAAAGAGATACGTAAACAGATAAAATAATACACAAAAAAAAACAGAAAAAATACAAAAAAACAACAACTAAAATACGAAAACAGACAGAAAGAAATATAAAAACAGGCAGACATGAGGTATTCAGAAAGAGGTCACCAAATACAGAGACAGCAGCACCCATCCCATGCTCTCCCCAGCGCTGGTGCTGCTGATGCCCGTCTTCGTGGGCCGCCTGCGCCTCCCCGACACCGCCCTCGGGCTGCTGGGCTGCAGCTCCGTCGCCTTCATGCAGATCGCCCTCGGCCAGATCGTCAGCGCCTCCATGACGTGGGTCGCTTTCCTCGGTGAGTCCCTCGAGCTTCTAAGGACTCGTGTCATGGGAGAGAATTCCTTGTATTTGTGGCAAGTCAGCATTCAGATTAGGGCTCAGCAGGGCGGCCTTGACTTACGTGTTTGCGTTACTGCTGTTCTCGAGGTCTCTCTAAGTGCGGATTCGTCCACAGGTCCTTTGCTCGGGATGCTGGAACTGTTCGCGCACTTGGCCTCACGTTCCATCATGTCCAAGTGTTCGGATGGAAGCAGAGAACTCGGTGAGTTACGGGATATTAGCGAAGATGAGAGGAAAGTATGGCGGAAGGGGAGAGAGAGAGAGAGAGAGAGAGAGAGAGAGAGAGAGAGAGAGAGAGAGAGAGAGAGAGAGAGAGAGAGAGAGAGAGAGAGAGAGAGAGAGAGAAGGGGAATGAAAGACAGCCATCAGCTTAACCCTCGCCCGCGACCTGACGCAGCCCGGCCTCCCTCAGGAAAGCTGTTCGCGGCGCAGGCGGTCCTGGACTCCATCGCCACCGGATTCGCAGGCCCTTTGTACGCAGCCGTGTACAGCTCGTCGGTGGACAGCCTCCCCATGGCGCAGTTCCTCCTGGCAGCCCTGTTCATGTTCCTGGCCGTCTTGGGCATCAGGTAAGAGCGCATTGGGATAGCGGAGGGACCAGCGCCGGGCCCGAGGGAAGGCCGACGCCCACACCACGAAAACACACAGATAGCGGCGACTGATATAAACAAAGATAGGGGTTTATCATAGCACGTGATCGGCATCTTATCACAAAAATTCGTAGCATGTCGCATCTTTAACCGAGAGACTGAAGTAACCGATGATCTTTATCAAGTAATTATACAACAGGTAAACACACGGGGGCAACGCACAGGTACCTTGTTCAGTGCCACTCTGTTTTCACCCCTGCTTCTGTTATCTTAATTTATACTTATTCTACGTCACATATAATTACTCATTCTGTTTTTTCTAGGGTGTGTGATATCTTCCTCCTGAAGAAAGAAGCTGGAGCCAGGTATGAAGATTACCAAGGAAAGGCATGA